GTATATATTATTTTTTATTATATATTTAAAATGTATATATATATGTATGTATATATTTCCTTATAAGTAAAGAATCTTTATGTTACCAAAGGGTATAGCAACTTGTTCTGAAAACTTCAATCAATATTGACCTGAAAAATTGCTTTTTAAGCTGCTCTATTAAACCTCAAAAAAGTAACCAGCTAACACCTACAATTGTGCGGAAAAAAATGTCCTTTCTGTAATTCTGCGTATGATGCCAGGATTAGGCAAGCAGCTGATGGCTTGATCTGCCAGGGGCGAACCTGAAGACTGCTGACTCCGGGATGAGAGCCAAAGGTTGCCCTTGGGGTTAAGATAAGCCAGTTAATCTCCTGCCTGAAACAACTAGTCTAGGCGTTGAACTGCATGGGCACTGTACTTGTCAGAGATGTTGTGGATTGACTGCATCCTTATTTCTCCTGCTGTGCAGTCTTGGAATTACAAAGATGTTTTGGATACAAGAGCAGCATAGTTGCTATGACTCAACTAACTCAGCTCCTGAGAATGTCCTAAGGTGCGCTGAGTTTGCACTGCTTCTTAAATATCAGTTCCCAGTTACCAGTGGGGAGAGAAAAATGCCGTGTAACAGGCCTGGCTTGTTTTATTCACACATAAGGAGGTAATAAGGGATCCATAAGCTGGTATTTGTGCTTCTAATACTCAGAGGGGTTCTTCTGGCTGTGAGGATCCTTGAAAGCCATGGAGAGATGCACTTGGGACTGCCGTACACTGATGCCTCTGAATCAGATGAAAAAAAAGCCTGCACCAAATAAGGGCAACCGTTGGATCGCAGCAGAGATCTGGCACAAAATCCTACCCTTAGAAAGAATGGCTGCCCCCGCAAGAAATCAAATAATAGCACATGTTATCAAGGCTGCTGGGGAAAAGGAACCCTTATACCTTGGTGGGAAAGTAAACTAGAACAACCACCATGGTAATTAGTATGGAGTGTCTTCAAAGAATTTAAAATAGAAATTCCAGTCCATCCAGCTATTCCCTTTCTAGGTATCTTCCTGAAAGAGTTAAAAAGAGCATATTACAGCGATGCATGCATTCCCATGTTTATAACAGTACAGCTCATTACAACTAACTTTTGGAAGCTGCCTGTACACCCTTCAGCAGATGAGTAGATAAATAAAATGTGGTATTACACATAATGAAGTACTACTCTGCCATAAAGAAGGATAAATCTCAGTTATTTGTTAAAAAAGGATGCGCCTTGAGACCATAATGTTAAGTGAAATAAATCAGACACATAAGCTTCAATATAGCATAATTTCTCTAATATGAAGGGCCCAAAGTATAATAATGAAGAGCAAAATAAGAGCTAGACAGAACTGTAGAAAACAGGGAAATGGAGCTTTGCCAATTAGGAAATGGCCAGAGGGAGAGGATAGCAAAGAAACAGGAGAGAGATATAAAAGAATTAAGATGTGTAATGTACATGTACTCACTCTCCACAATGAAGGGCACCATTAGGCACTGACATGTATTAAATTAAAAATTTAAAAGATTCTACCCTTCTCTGACATTTTGGCATAAGAATTGCAAAACAGATTAAGCAGCAAAGTGGGTGTTCCTTAGGTCTGGAAGTCTTCCGAGCAACTTAGAATTGAAGACTCCAACCCACAGCAGGGAGGTCACACACTGACTCAGTCCATTTTGATTTATATCTTGTTCAGCATTGGGCCCTTACTTCATCCGTGATGTTCATAGCTAAAACATAGGAACAAAGTCAGATCTTTATGTGCCAGTGAAGATGTTCATGTCAAATAAGAAAAGACTACGGCCAAGAAAAAGGTGAAGGGCCACCATTACGTATACACCGGTACATGGATTGTGGCTGCAGCTGAAACAAAGGAAAGATTCCAGACCCACCTATAAATCTGACTTTCCATTTTCTTCCAACAGTTTACATATTCTTCTTGCATTCAGCTACACCTGTGGCCGCTGCTTGTAGTCTACAGACACACAAGGTTTTGCGCTAGCCTGATTCTTATTCATGCTCCTCTAACCAAATGCATCCTGAGTTCATATGAAAATATTCCACAGACACTTTGGATGGATCCATTGCTTTATCCTCACAGCGTGCCCTTCAGATGTGTTCCCCTGGCCTTGCTGCACCACATTTCATCCAGGGCCAAACTGAAGCCTGGAGTCCTCCACTATTCCTTCACCTCTTCCATCCCACATCCAAGCGCCTGCTAAGTTTAGTTGCTTCTACTGGCCCTGGACTCCGGTGATAGGCAGGGTTCTCTGGGACAAATACACAGCTTCAAATCAACATCCGTGGAAGCAGGAGGAAGGAAGAGGACTGGGAGGGGGGAATGCTGGGAGAGGAGACGCAGCCCCCGGCTTCAGCCAACCCCATGAGGGCCGGGGGCTGACACGGTTTCAGAGTTGTCCCACATAAGACAAAAGTGTCAAGGCCTTCAGGAGGGGATTTGGGTTGTGCATCTCTGTATGTTTCATTTCCTATTTCTTTGCCCCTTCCCCTTTTTTCTGTTTTTTTCAGTACTGGGGATCGAACTCGGGACCTTGTGCTCGTGAGACCCGGAGTGGAGCCACTTACCTAAATCCCTGGCCCCTTCCCCTTTGCTATACAACCCCTTTCAACGTAAACCAGTTTTATGTCATTCCATGTCTCAAAAGGAACTTCATGGTTTTATCCTTATCTACCGTCTCAGGCACAGCACTTAGCCTAGAGCTGTTCCTGAACCAGTCCTAGAAACCAGCAACATGGAACTTCGTGCAGTTTCCTAAAGCCACCACACTCTCCTTTACATCTCTATTCTTTTAGAAGAGTTTTTGTTTTATTATTTATTTACTGGTACCAGGGATTGAACTCAGACCTTGCACTTGCAAGGCAGGCGGTGGAACCACTAAGCAAAATCCCCAGCCCCCTACTCTTCTATTCCATTTACCTGGAAGTCCTTCTCTCATCTTATCTACCTGCTGAATTCATTCTGATTGTTCCTCAGAAATCGTCAAGTTCATTTCCTTAAAATTCTGACACCCCATTTTGAGACAAAGTCAAGTATTTTGCTTTCTGTGGCCTCTCGCCATAAGCTGTAATTATTTGTTTATTTGTCTCATTCTCTAGCATGTGAAAATTCAGAAGACCAGTAACGTGTGTTTGTGCATGTCTATTATAAATTTATAAATTCATACTGTATTCCTTATGCCTAGCACAGTTCCTGGCTCAAAACTAGTTGCTTAAAACATGGAAGGGAGATAGTGGAACTCTAATCGCAGCTACTGTGGAGGCTAACACGGGAGGACTGTGAATTCAAGGCCAGCCTGGGCAAAATAGCAGCATCCTGTCCAAATAAATACATAAATAAGAAAGAGGATTAATCCCTTTCTTCCATCCTTCCTATCTTTTTTGGTATATTGAGGATTGAAACCAGGGACACTCTACTATTAGGCTATATCCTCAGTCCCATTTTTTTTTCTTTAATTTTAGGACAAGTTAACCAGGCTGGCCTTGAACTTGCAATCATCCTGCTTCAGCCTCCTAAGTTGCTGGGATCATAGATGTGAAGCACCATGCCTGGTAAGAAGGACTTTTCCACAGAAACTATGGGCTGCATCCCAATCTACATGTAGGTTGCTTTAATAATGTCTTTATGAGCTCCGTATCTAATTATTTTATCAACAGAAATATTAAGATTTTGTGAAACTTATTCTTGCTACACTTTAGCTTCCACACGATTTGTAGATAACTATGAAAAGAAATCACAAGTTCATAATTATCAAACACAACTGATCCATGATGAATGGTCCCACCAGGGCAGACCTAGAGCTGAGAGCACAAGGAGACTCTTAGGTGAGTTCCTAAGATGTTCAGAGGGATGGTTGGGCTGTCATGGTGAGACAAAAGGCCAAGCAGGCAAGAAACAGCAGGTGAGAAAAGTGCATTGCGGGAGGGAGAGACAGGACAGGGGTTTGACTAAAAGTGAAGGAAGAAACTGTTAAACAGGCCGAAAGCCAGCTTTTTCCTGGAGGCCACCCAGCGGACCTCAGAATGACTAGAAGCAGTGAGCAGCCCTCAGAAGCCTGGCTTGAGGAGCGAATCAAAGCTCTACCTTTGGGGATGTCACGGCAGATGCAGGGAACGAAGCAGAAAATTGTCACCACAGGATGGAGGCCAACGGTGTCTGAGCAGGGCTATGGGGCAGAGACTCCTGACCGGGCAGACAGAGGTTGTCATGGAGGCAGCAGCAGGACTGTGGTAAGGGTGGCGGGAGGCCAACTCCATACTGAATGTGGCCTCTGTCACCTCTCCAGGCACAGAACTGGGAGCGCCCAGGAGAGCTGGAAGCTTTGTTGGAATGGCCCGCGGTGCTCCATCAACAATGGACGGTACGTTCAACTTCATCTTAGCCAGGATCCTGGGAACCAGTGATGTCCAGACTTCCCTCCATAGTAACGGTGAATAGCCAAGAAATACTTTAAGATCTATGCGAGAAATTTAGTTTTCCACTCCACTGAAAGCAAACGCCTTAGCCAGTCCTGTCCTTACTGTACTTTAAGCCTATTTGAAAATACACACTCATAATACAGCCCAATACCAACTCCAAGCAAAGACTGCACACGTTATGTACTGCAAACATATACAGAAAGAAAAGGGAGGGGACCGAGGCGTGGGTGGAAGGGGACAGAAGGTGGAATTAAGGTGTGTTATGTAAGCGTTCCAACATCCCACAAGCACGTAAGCATGATGTACTACATACATGTACTAATAAAAACATAAAGACTCAAAGTCTGATGGGAGAAAGACTGGAAGAAAGCACAGGACTGAGGTGGCTTCTAAAGGAGAAAGAAGCGCGTTCATTGTGCAGAGCTAATGCAGAAATGTGGTTTGCAAATATTGTCTCGTGTTCATAATGACACAGTGTGGTTGAAAATACGGTGAATATTAAAAACATTTTTAAATGTATTATAATAAAACTTTTACTACAATAAAAGACGCATTGCTATGAACCCTCTTAAAAGTCCTCCCCTTCCTTTCAGACACACTTGTCCCATCCGTCATTTTTGCCTCCTAGAAGCCCTTCTGGAGGCCCTCTTTCCTGATGGTCTTCAGCTGTGCTGTAGCGGCCGTCATGATGACAATTTACGGTGCGTTCCTTTCACTGTCGCTTTGACATGAGGGAAGAGCCACGGTGGTGAGGTGGGTGAGGACGCACTGGAGTGTCATTACCAGCTTGCCTTTCCGTCGGATGGCACGTGAAAGAAGCGTTCACCGCATTTGTCATCACACCTGGTGAAGACGCAAAAGAGGACTTCGGAACTGCTCCAGAAATAGGCAAGAACTAGGCAGCAAGTGTGTTTGAAGGGAAGGGGACCACTTTGAGCGTGGTTACTAGCAATGCGTCTCTTACTGTATAGTCTCTCATTTAAATGCACAGCACATCTTCTGATTAGCGCTTCTAGGTCATAACTCAGTGACTGCATTTCTAGTGGTGCAGAGCTCGGGAGGGACTGGGAGCAGCGAGGGGAAGCCGAGCCTCCCTCCACGTGTGCCACTCCTGCTGGGGGCTTTTGGCCAGGGAGGGGAGCTGCGTGTCAGGTGTGTGTGTGTGGCAGGGGACAACACAGGGACAGAGAATGGCTTCCAGGGTCATCCTTGGCATTGGTAGAGCAGGTTGCTTATTTCGTTGCTGGGGATGAGAAATATTTTTATCCACACCCAGGATGACTTTGTGACATGTCGTCATCACAACGGGCAGGTTTCTCGAGAATTCCCTTTCAAGTGTGTTTCTGGCTAGGGTGGGCTTCAAAGGACTTCCCTGGAGTGGGAGAGCAGGAGAGAGGTGGCTGAGTTTTGCAGCTCTCTTCTTCCAGGTGCTCAAACACGAGTCGAGCCACAGCTGGGAAGGAGTTTCCCCAACGCGACGACAGCTCCAAAGCAATCAATAGTGAATCAGTTGCAACGGTGGGGTCCTGACTGACCTAAGTAGAAGTCCTTCAAGGAAGGAAGGGGCGATCTGGTGTAGGCAAGACTCCCGACAGCACGGGGAAGGAAAACTGCGGAGTTCTACGTTCAGCTCATCGGTGTCCCTGACATCTCCCTCCCTGCCCTGATCTCCCGTCAGCTTCTTGGACTCTGGAGCCACCCGTGTTACGCAGCCTCATGGCGAACTTGCTCTGGATTCTGCAGAATACCTAGGTCCCTAGGACAGAGATGGCATGACTAGCTACACGATTCAGTCCTCTTTGGGGGTGGGGTTCTGTCCAGCCTTGTGGGTTCCTGCTGCCTGTGCTTCTGGGGTGCAGGATTCGATGGGGAGAAGGACTTTGCAACGATCGCTGACCCAGGAATTCCTGTGATAAGAGCCCAGGCTCACACAAGAGCATATGCACAAATGCACAGATGTGTGTATGTAAACGCGTGTGTGTTTATTTCTTTGCATGTACACATACATGTGAATATTTATAAAAATACACAAAGTATACATGTGGATTTGACTTCTCTGGTTAAATCTTCACTAATACAATACCTTATTTTCACCATATTTTCATATATGACTTTACAGTTTGCTAAGGACTTCTGCATATTTTATTATATTATGTCAAAGATGAACAAGCTGTGGCCCAGCAGCACTAAATGGCCTGTGCTGTGCCACCCAGCCTGTAGGGGACTTGATCAAGATTTCAATTACTGCTCAGATGTACTCTCCCCTGACAACACTGCTTACAATGGCGATGCGTTCATAGTGCTGTGAAGGAAAATGTTTATAAGAGAAAAATACAATAAAACCTCTTTGCGGAGGTGTAGAGAGAAAAGCACATTGCAAACTGTGTTGAAATACTAGCTTCTCTTCTTATACGTCTAAAAATGATGTGGAATTCAACGCTTGGGCACACAAAGTTCTTAATGAATTCTGAGTTTCACAAAAATGTTTTAAAGATCTAAGTTTAGCAACGAGTTTGCTAATGTATATTATTGTACTCCTTGCGGTAAGATTAGGAAAGGTAAGCAGAGATCTTCAAGAAGTAAGATGCAAAGTCAGAGAATAAAGTACTACACGTATGCACTAGGCATTCTATATTTGTTCATGTGTTGCTCGGATGCAACAATTTTAATTTAAAGAAGTCGCTAGTGGCCATCATGGCCTTGCTACTCTGGAAAAATTTAGTATTTTGATTGACAAGTCAGTATTGAAGGGTTATATGGATATAAAATTATACGTATAATTTTCCCTCTGTGAACAACAATAGGTGTAGAATCTTGGGATGAGGGGACACTTCAGGAAATAACAGCATTTTTAAATTGAAGGGGAAAGGTTGCAAAGGGTGTGCTTGACATCAAGCGGCAATAGCAAATTGTTCTTTGTTTTTCTTCTCTTTCAGCCTTCACACTTGCTGAGAAGGCCACAGCCTGTGGAAGAATGGAAATTTTAGAAGTTCTTTTTTCTGGCTGCCAAATCCACCTCTTCTTCTTGGAAATTGCAGTTCACACCTCTGAGTCGTAGTGAAGACCACTGATTACAGAACTGTCCCGGGCCACAGTGGTGGTGCCAGGCCCAAATGGAGAGGACTTCAGACCTCAGCAGGGCCTGGGAAGTCCTTCCCAGTTATCTTTTTCTTTTTTAATTTTAATTTTTAAGGTACATGTTTGGAGCACAGGATTACATTAATTATGAGTAGTTGGTACATGCTCACGGTGCATCTTAGCTCTTCTTACATCTCCTCCCTCCCATCCTCCCCCACCTCCCTCTCTTGGTCCCTTTCCCACTTGCAAAAGTCTATTTCCCTACCTCCTATTGTCTACATTTTATCTAGCTCTTTATTTATGCTTTGGATTTCTCATATAAGAGAAACCATTGGATGTTTTGGCTTTTGTGTGTGATTTATTTCACTTGATATTATGGTCCCAAGGTGCGTCCATTTCCTCATGAATGATTTGGGCCTGGCCTTCTTTATGGCAGACTAGTACTCTGTTGCACTTCCATATGTTTTCTTTATCCACTCACCTGCTGATGGACACATAAGATCCAGAGGGCTCTGGCTGTGCCTGTGGAGAAGCTATGGAAGATGGCGGGCAGTGACGGTAGTTGTGTTCTCCAGAGAAGCAAATAAAGCTAACTTGCACAGAGAGCTTCAGGAGAAAGGGTCAGCAGGAGGCAAATCTGACTGTCCTCCCTTGGGCAGCTCACTTTTGGATGACTATGCGTGTTTTTCAAAGAGCAATGCAAGAGCATTGAAGAGCAGGGAAGGGCTAGAAGCCCTGTCTGTTTCTAGACACTTGTAGGTGAACTTGGGGCTGAGTTACAGCTGCTTAGGGGCCTGTGCAAAAACGTGAGGAGTTTGTTCGGAGCTTGCAGATCTGTGGTCTGCAGAGATTTCCTCAGCAAAGGGCCATGTGGAAGGTCGATCCTTAGGGAAAGTGGGTAGGACAACAAGATCTGAAAGAAAGAACAAATGTGTCTGCATCAGTTAGTTTTCCACCCCTGTGACAAAATTGCTGACAAAACCAAATTGCAGTCAGGAAGGCAGACTTGGGTTCACAGCTTGAGAAGTTTCTGTCCATGACTGGCTGGCCCCGATGCTTTCAGTGTGGAGTGAAGCAGAAAGGTCATGGTGGGGAACCGCCTGGAGGGCAGACATGGTGGAGGAGGCCGCTCACTTCATGGCAGCTGGCAGGGAGGGAGAGGAAGAGAACTTTCCAAGGCACGACCAATGTCTTCCAACTAGGCTCCATCCCCTAACGTTTCCGCCAGCTCCTGGTGAGGCCATCAAATTACTGTTCCATCAGTGGCTTGACCCATGGATGAAAAGGGTGCCCTCGTGATCCAATTCCTCCCCACAGGCCCTGGCTCTGAACACTGCTGCCTTAGGGACCAAACTTTCCCCACACAAGGCTTTGTGGAACATTGTAGACGCAAACCGCACAGTGGTGTTTCAATAAGGTCTCTTTTCTTGAAGGGCAAAAATTGGGGGAAACTTACTGAAGGAGATAATATTTGAATGTGAAGGAGAAAAGTTATGGAAGGATAAATTTTGGAAGGTCCAGGTTATTTTGTGGCTGTGGGACTTGGGACCAATTTGAAGGAGTCACCTCTCAGAGGGCAGCTGTAACACTGAGAAAGATGGTTAATATGCAGCCGAGACCAACTTTTCTGCAAAGGCAGTAAGATGTACCGTAGCATGTGAAGCAGATCACTGTAGAGCAATTGAACCATGACTTTTGTGTGCTTTCCATCTCAAGCTTATCTCCATCTGAGGTCTGTAGAAAGTCTTTTCCCATTTACATAACAAGGCAAGAGATTATTACAACTAAAATTAGATCCACGGATTGCTATGCCTAGTGCTTTGTACCATAATCAAATTATGATAAAATAGCTTTTATTACTTTATAGCTCTATAATACAGTTATGTTCCTTAGCAGTTTGTTTAGAAGGAGAGGGGTGGTAGTACTATCGTACTGTATTAGCGAATTGCTGAGTTTGGGCCAACTTGGCAACCTTGCTTGATTTGCACAGAGACACTAGAAGAGTGGGGAGGAGTATGATAAAGTCTCATTTGTTCTCCTTTCTTGCTGCACAGCCTCTTTTCCTTTTTTCAAAAATTGGGCCGCTGCTCATGAGTTCTTCCTGCTCACTCTTATCGCTTATGGTGATGACACGATACTGACAGAACAGTTCCTGTTTGTCTGCTGTGAACAGATAAAGTCAAAAGCCCTCTGCTTTCCTAGCCCTGTGGAATCCTTAGCTGTTTTCTCCCAGACTGTGAGCAAGGTGAGCCACACAAACTGAGTCATCAGGTGCCTTCTTCCTGTAAAAATGCAAATGTGGGAGGAGAGAGAAAACACACAGGGAGATCTGAGGAAAGAAGTGCGTCAGTGAGAAAGGAGAGAAAAATGGAAATTAAAACTGAGTCCTAGGTAAAAACCATCCCAAAAAGAACAGGGGGAAAAAAAAAAAACAACACTACAAGGATAAGGAAGGAGGGAGAAGGAGATAGATGGTCCTACAATACCAAGGGAGTTTACACCACAGTGGGAGAGCAGAGCTCCACACCATTTGGGGCTCTGAAAATTTCTTGATGGCTCTGCAGTCTAGCCTTCATCCCCACCTTACTTCATTTTACCATTAATGCCAAAGGTAGCAGGAGATGCAGTGGTGGCATTTTCTCCTAATTTAATTTCCAGTTCCCGAACTCAGTTACTGACTCTTTAGAGCCCGAGGGAGGATGACGCTTCCTTAAAGCCTTGGCTGTTAACTTTCACTTTTCTTTTCAACCTCCTTAGATTTCCAGAGGTGTCGCACTCATCCTCAAGCACGGCACAGTGGCTAAACTATGTAAAATAGCACTGTTGGTGGTGGTGGTGAAAAGCAACACCTACCACAATGTCATGGAGATTGACTTTGACTGTATCTAGTGATGTCACCGGATGTAGTCCAGGTGCAGATGACACAAATGATAGGGCATGAAATTTGTCACAGGCTTCCTGCTGCACAGCCACATCCTGTGACTTCCTTCACTGTGTCCTGCAGGTAACGATGGAGTAGGAAAACTTGCTGTCTGGTGGGGTCTTCATGTGCGTGGCTGGTGGGCAGCCACACAGCACACAGAAGCCTCACTGCAGCGGCCTTCAGAAGTGACTGTCTGGCTGGCCGGGTCCACACTGGGCCTCAGGGTTCTGATGTCACTGGTGTGGGTGGCCCATTTCCGTGTATGAGGAGATTCTCTAACTCAGAACATTAGAAGCTGGCATTTTTTGACTTCTTGTGAATGGTTTAAGGCTCCAGTGAGAGCTGTACAAAACTGAGATGTACATAACGGTGTCTTGAGGTCAGTCTGCCCACACCCTTCGGGGAAGCAGCTCTACGCTCGACCAGCCAGAGATCCTGGCGGGTGGCCCTGTCTCAGACTGTCCAGCACAACCGGGAGGTTTTCCTGCCTTGGCATTCACTGTGCTGCTGAATCCCTGTGCCTCTGCTCATTGAGACAAGCTGTTTCTTCTCCACTGATGCCATGTTCTGTCCTTTTGTGACACAGAAAGACGGCTGAAAGCCATCTCACTGGACCTGTGAAGACCGGTGGTCTCGGCACTACCCGTAGGAAAGCCTGATCCTTCTGTGAACATCGGGGATCCAGGGTTCTGTGTGCAGAAATTCTTTTGGGCAGTATAATGGATATTCACTCTTCTGAAACACTAGCTGTGTGAAGATGACTTTAAAGGATGTATCGTGATATAAAAGTTATAACGTTACATAGAGGCTAAGAT